CTCTACATTCCAGACCCTTTATATATATATAAAATAAAATAAAAAAAAGGAATGGCCTTTGCCCAGAGAGGCTTACAGTTCTTGCACGTCTCCTTAGGATGCATGCACAAAACAGGATAAATCCAGAACCAAGGGAGAGTAACCACATGCTGGCCACCTACCCACTTCCAAGTTCTTTGGTTAGGGAAGAAAATCACACTCTGGACACCACCTGATCACTAAAGCATGCTTACTTTGCTTGGAACTAATATAATGGATGAGAGCTAGCACCAACAAGTGTGGCTGGTGCATCTCCGCAGACAATGTATTTTTCTTTAGAGTTCTTGCATGGCTGAAAGGATGTAAAAAGACACATGAAAATTAATATGGGGCAAATGCTTTAAGCTGTTCCTAGTAGTCAGCTGTTAAAAGCCTTTTTATGGTTTAAGATTGTAAAATATTGTTGTCAACTGGTCTTCTGTTTACTAATTATTGTGCTATTTTATTTTGTGTCAGATTTTTATCTACGTAAAATGGCACTTACCCTACCCCCATAGTCACAAAGAGGAGGTGAATAGCTGCAGCTCTGTATCTGAGAAAACATCCCTCCACAACATCTGAAGTCTAAGACTAGATTCTTGGAATATCGCTGTATTATTTACTTTGCGTGAGCAGTAGGAAATGCAAAATGGTCCCTACAAATGTGGGTGTAGCAATGCCGACTGCTATCATTTGTTATTTGATCCATGGTCAGAAACCAAAGTTGAAGCATATGTACCTTCCCATCTCAGATGGTGGATGTCTACTTTACTAGTTATTTTATTTTGGTGGACATCTGATGAACAAAAAGGGTGACTAAAGAACAGTATGTCAAAGAGAGCCAGAAGATTGGATTTATGCCAGTTTACCTGATACGAACCTAACACGTGAAATGACTGAAGCAGAATATAAAAGTCATTAGCATAGGTGGTAAGCTTAGAGTCAGAGTCACAGACTTTAAGGTCAGAAGGGACCATTATGATCATCTAATCTGACCTCCTGCACAACGCAGGCCACAGAATCTCACCCACCCGCTCCTGTAATAAACCCCTAACCTATGTCTGAGCTATTGAAGTCCACAAATCATGGTTTAAAGACTTCAAGATGCAGAGAATCCTCCAGCAAGGGACCCGTGCCCCACGCTGCAGAGGAAGGCAAAAAAACACCAGGGTCTCTGCCAATCTGCCATGGGGGAAAATTCCTTCCTAACCCCAAATATGGCGATCGGCTAAACCCTGAGCATGTGGGCAAGACTCACCAGCCAGACACCCAGGAAAGAATTCTCTGTAGTAACTCAGATCCCACCCCATCACAGGCCATTAGGCATATTTTCCGCTAATAGTCAAAGATCAATTAATTGCCAAAATTATGCAATCCCATCATACCATCCCCTCCATAAACTTATCAAGCTTAGTCTTGAAGCCAGATATGTCTTTTGTCCCCACCGATCCCCTTGGAAGGCTGTTCCAGAACTTCACTCCTCTGATGGTTAGAAACCTTTGTCTAATTTCAAGTCTAAACTTCCTGATGGCCAGTTTATATCCATTTGTTCTTGTGTCCACATTGGTACTGAATTTAAATAATTCCTCTCCCTCCCTGGTATTTATCCCTCCGATATATTTAGAGAGAGCAATCATATCTCCTCTCAGCCTTCTTGTGGTTGGGCTAAACAAGCCAAGCTCTTTGAGTCTCCTTGCATAAGACAGGTTTTCCATTCCTTGGATTTAAGGGAACGACTAAAATGATGGCTGTGTCCTGATCTTCAAAAAAATTTTTCCAAGCTAAATAAAATAAGAGGGAAGCTAATTAACACTTTTCTAGTTCCAAGTGGCCAAACCAAAAAAATGTATTTTAAGTCAAACCTAAGTGAGTGCATGTGTGTTTTTAGGTTGTTGGTTTTTTTGTTTTGAAGAATTTTACAGGAAACCAAGAAATTCCACTTCAGGTTCAGTGAAACATCGTTTGACCCAAAATGAAATGTTTAGTGTTGTTCAAGTTTAATTTTTTAAAAATATTGAGGAAAATTCAAAAAACAAGAAGTCATTTAAATCAAAATATCCCAATTTTTTTTGTTTTATTTTTGACTGGAACATTTGGCAAAAAAAATCGATACAAATTTTCAAAATAATCCGGTTGACCTGAACCTGCATTTTTGGGCAAAATTTAGTCCCCCAAATTTCCCCAAGCTCTGCTCAGAAGGCATTTTTGTTTGGAGAGAACTATTGTTACTTAATGCACTTCCACCTTAAAGATGAAATACTTATAAATTCTTATTTCAGGAAAGATTTCTTATAATTCAGTCCATAGCACATCATTCCAAGTCTACACAAACCACAAATCTTGGCTCAATAAGTCTCCTGCACACTTTTTTTTTTCCCCCCATCTAGATTTTTCTGGTTGTTCTAGGAAACTCTCAGTACAAACCTAGAAAAACTTTGTCAAGGGCCCAGATAGTTTTGTGACTGAATCAGGGGCTCTAGCCTTGGTTCTGCCAAACTAATGGTCATCTGTGCCAGTTTCTCCCTTCTGAAAATTGGCATAATGCTTCCTCATCTCAGAAAGGTATTGCAAAACCTCAGCTGACTGAGTTTTGTAAAGAGTTTTGTAGAAATATGCTATGGAAGTGAGAAGTGTTATTTAATTTTACGATGTAAATTTATAAATACTAAAACTCTGGATTTCTAAATAGATTTGACTTAGAATTTTGAAAAAGAGACAAGTTTTTTCATATAATCCTGCCAAGGTACAGGTTGTTTTGATATCTCTAGCAGCATCATAGGGACAATGGGAAATAGCCGATTTTATAAAACAGTAAGAGGAAGAAAGGGTTGACTAATTTCTTCAGCTGCTAAATCATCTCTAAGATAAGTCTCAGAGAATGACGTTACTCTCCAAAGTGAAATATGAAAAGAGATGAAATATACATTGCTTATGATAATCTGGAAATCATGGTAACGTTAGTATTGCTGTGTATCTGCTTCTTGTAGCAGACATTTGTCTGAAATGATCATTTTGCTTTAGCTGAGAAAATTTTGAATTGAACAGATATAATTCATATCTCCCCTGCTAGACCCATCACTTCTAGTGACTAGTAAGCAGCATTTAGAAAGCATAAAGTGGAGTTATTAGCCTAGTTTAAGGGGGAGGGGAGAAAGGAGGCAGGGTTTAACTTATATCTGTACTACTTTCTTAAACAAAACAACCAACCAACATGCTTTAGAGAGAGCCTGGGGTCTTTCATGCACTAGCTGAACTTCTCACACCGGGAATAAGCCACATCACCGCCAAACTACATTAGAACATGTTACTGTGAAGTTGCACAATTTTTTCAATGAAACCTAATACAGTTTTATCTAATCTTACAGTTGAGTGACAATATTGGAACGTACTAGTGTAGTCACATTAATGCACATTTTAGAAGTTCCAGCAGCAAAGTGTACATTCCCACTACCACTGTAGTTGGTTAATCTTTCCAAAGCCCCACAGCTGAAGAACTAGAGCTTCCACAAAGAGACTGAAAAGGTGATTGACACCTAGCTGAAAGCTTGTGCACCTTACTGATTCATTCCTTTCTAAGGCTTGAATCCTACTTATTTCACTTCCCTGTGTGGAAGTATACAGAACACACTCATGCTTTTGCCTTTTATTTGTAATTACATAGCCCCTTTATTCTTTGAAAGATACACCTGTTATTCTGGTACTGGAATGTTAGGCAGCAAATCTATAAAACTAATATAAGCCTTCTTTTAGCAATGTTCAATGAGTTCACATCTTTTCCGATACTTGAAAAAGTGTGTGAAATCTCCACAGAAATATTCAGCTCCAGGGTGTAATTACTACACAATCACTCAGCACTTAAAAAGTATAATTTCTACTAACATAAGGAATTACTATGGTTGCATTTGCAAGGATGCTGGATGATACAGTTCACAATTAATACTTTGCTCTTTTCTACTCACCTTTCCTTAGAGGACCTTGAAGAGCTTTAACATAGTTCAACATTCATTTTTAATTGCTAATTTCCTTTGCAGCACTAGCATGTGAACATGGAGTTTAGAAAGCGTCCAAGGATTATTTGGTCCGTAGCCTGGGTCCTACTGAAGTCCAAGACAAAATTCCCATTGATTGTACCTGGACCAGAATTTGAGCTTGTGTGAACAAACAAAAAAGCTTCTTTACTTCATATGTTGCTTTACTGGTCTATTCACCTGTGCGTGATGTGCTGACGGGACTATCCATACTAGATGTTGGTTTGGATACAAGGAAAATCATGTATGCAGAAGCAGAGACATTTTAAAGTGGGCAAATTGTATATTTGAAACTTGAGTGGATAATTAGATGTATAGAAGTTATAATATTAAACAGGAACATCAGCTGAGTCAGTTTACATTGAATACACTATTGAGCTCTATATTTTTCTATTTCATGTTCCTGTAATGTTTGACCCTTTAAAAAAAATCATACACAATGTAACTCTACTCCTTTTGTTACTAACTGTTCAATAGCTATCCTGACAGCAGCACTATATCTTCGTTCTCATTTAATAACTATCATTCTGTATCTGCCCATTTTCAAGAAGGAATAAAGTTAAGTGTTCCAGAAATTTGAAAAAATTGAAATTTGACCTTTATTAAGTGGGTTAATTGTCACAATCTCAGCATGTATGAAATTAATGACCAAAAAGTGGAACTTCAGAGATTCAGAAGACTAAGTTAATGTCCAAAAAAGAAATCTAAACTCTGACCTTTTTGACATATGCCAAAAGAAACAGCCACCCTAATAAATTACTACCTGTGTGCAATTATAATAAACCATTCCAAGCATCTAATCACTTGAATTAATTGCTGCAAGGCACTATGGCTTTCTTATATTCAAGCTATTCTCAAGTAGCCCTTGTAGCTTATATGAGGTTGAGTGTATGTGTTTTTTTCAGCACAGCAGATTCAGTTTTAAAGTACATTATTCATACATTTGGACTACAAGAGTGTATACAACATTTATTAGCAATGAAATTAGGAATCTTGGCTGAGTAGATAGCAGTCCTAAAAATGGTGAACCGACCGGGAATAATGCTAGGGAAAATGAATTTGACTGAACACCAGGTCATGCACAGATTGCTGGATTTAGGGACACCTGCATATTTACAAAAATGTAAATTTATTCGACATTGCGGAGATGTGGTCATTGCTATAATCAGTTTTCATTGTACAGAGATGTCAGTGAACAGCTGAATGTCCGCATCAAACAGGTTTTATAAGAACAGTATTTCTAAAATTACAGTATTACATTCAGTTGGAAAGACTGGATGGCTCAGCACAGTTAATGTGATACGAATCCTGTTAACTTCTAGGTGACTCTTTTAAACATGGACTGGCTGGATTGGCAGTGAGTGATATGGCCGTTTGAGGGCATATGCAGAATGAATCAGTGGCCTCAGTGTGGATTCCAAACAACATCACATTAGAGGCACAAAGGCTGATTGGCAGCATCTACAGAGGCAACAAGGAATTCATGGGGATTACACTACTCTCATCCCTGCAGAACTCAGGAACATTAATGGGGCACGATGCAGAAGCTTGCTCTGTCCATGCTGTTCCTGTTTGGAGGATGAATGACTTCAGTGTCCAGGACTGTCAAGCTGACAATTATTATTAAAAAGAATAAGTATGAAATTCACAAAAAGAAAAGGAGTACTTGTGGCACCTTAGAGACTAACCAATTTATTTGAGCATAACTGAAATTCAGTTATCTAATTCTTCTTCTTTCTAATTCTGTGCATCAATTATGGGATTCAAGTTGGAGATCAACATACAAGATTTTGACCCCATCCTCATGCAGATTTTGAAACACCCTTTTTAAGAGCCAAAGTGATCTCGTATCTCACTCTGCAAAGGGCTACTGAAATGGTTCAGCTATAAAGGCACTCAGCCAAACCAAGCACAGGTGGGGCTAGTCTACACTATCAACTTTTAATATGTTTGAACACAGCTGTAACTAAACAAGTTAGCTGACAACAGTGGTCATGACTGTCCAGTCAGTATACATGAAGAAAAATTGGGTTACTTTGGTCTGCACAATGACCACATTGTGGTAAGTTCTGCTAAGCATCATGACACTCACTGGTAACATGTTGTAGCAAAATGCCAGCTTGTACCATTTTTACTTGCCTAGAGCATGGGACTCCTTGGATCAATGCCATTAAAAGAGGGTTCCCATGTGGCAGTGCAATATGCTACAGGTACTCCATTGGAAAAAACTTCATAACTTTAGATCGAACAAATTCTTCTGTTCTTCCACAGTCCTAACTTGAGGGTTTATTATTTTAAAACAAGACTAATTAAGTTGAAATTACTTATCAGTCAATTCAGAGGTCTCCTGACATCCAACAATTTATTAAAACCATCCCTGAGAACAGTCACCACTGCATTCGCTGCTTAAACTGACCAGTACACAACTGGCCACTTGTTATTTTCCTCCCTTTAACAAGGGGCCCTCTCAACTTTCCTTTTTCTCCACCTAATGTTCAATACAGATATCTGGCCATGAAGAACGAGGCAGGATGCAACTTAAGATTTTACTATCTAAGGTACTGATATGGCTCCCATCACTGTTAGTATCTGAGCACCTTACAAAACACCTTTGAGGCACAGAAATTCTATTATCCCCACTTTACAGACTGGGAACTGAGGTACAGAGAGACTGACTTGCCCAATAGGCTAAGTTACTGGCCTAATCTGTCATCATAAATCAAATTTTGTGTTAGTCTGTTTTAAATTGCTCCACAATTTACTAAAAATAATTTAGTCCATAAATATGGTTTAATCTCTTGGTATTTTGGAAACAGACAAGTTGTTAATGGCAAAAAATATGTAACATGAAGGCTCCATCTATGCTGCAGCTGTGGTTTGCAGCTTGTGCAGACATACCCACTCTAGCTAGCTCACTAAAAATGTCAGTGAGGATGCAGCATCACAGGCTTCAGCGCAGACCGCCCAACAAGTACATATCGGGGGGAAGGAGGAGGAGGAGGGCGAAGGGAAGAGTGAAGGGGCAGTGTCAGGTGAGTTAGTGCATCTAAAGGCTGGTCTAAACTGGGAATTTACATCAGCATAGCTGTGTTTCTCAGGGGTGTGAAAAATCCACCCCCTCCCGAGAGAGACAGCTATGCTGACCTAACTCCCAGTGTAAACAGCAGTAGGTCAATGTAATGATTCTTTCATTGACCTACCTACTGTTTCTTGGGGAGGTGGACAGAAACAGAACCCCTCCCATGGGCATGGTCTTGTCTAGGCTATAGCAGTTTAAGTGTAGACATACCGTAAGACAGGAGTTACATTCCACTGGGATTCAGTGTGCCATGTACATGCCAAATATATGTTTGTTAACCAAACTGTAAGAGCCTATTTAAGTTTTCAAAAATATTTACAAATGATCCAGATACCTATATGGTCTCATCACTGTAGCATCTCAAAACTTAAATATACCCTGCATGTACTAATGAGCAACAGGTTATTAAAAACACCCACTCAGACTGTGACATATCCCTTGTATCATGGATATGGCACTTTTTTGGTAGCAAGAAGGCATGTCTTCTTTCAAGCTGTTTCTCTTTAAACAATAGTTTTACCAACGCATGTAAAAATTCACTTTCAATTAAGGTTTGAGTTCCTCAGTCCTTCTACAGGAGCCCTACAACAATCAGGAAGTCTTTCTAATTCAAAAGCCCCACAGAAGACACCGGCTCTAGAGAAAAACTGGGAGTCTTTATTGTTTTTTTCCCCCCCACAGTCATTCAGTTTCTCAAATTTGTTTCGCTTCTTGGCTTGTGAAATTCCTGAACATGGCCTCCAAGGTGATGGAGGCAGCAGCAGACTATTGAGGGACCTTTACTATCCATGAATCCACATTGCTTCCATGCTCTACTGAAAGGGGTCTACTCACAGCAGAACAACATAGAAATGTACACTACTTATTAGAAACTATCAGCTGTTTCTTTATAGGGTCAATACCTGAAACCTGTATGCCCATATTTGAAATCAACATTAGGGTAATATCAGCTAAAAAAAAAAAGAAAAGAAAAAACTATAAAAGGCTGGACTGTTTGCTATTTTAGAAGCATCTGGGTGAACAATATTTTGCCTGAACAGTGCTATTTGGCAAAGCAATCTATGAGAAAAAGAGTAGGCTAAATACATTAGAGCTAGATTTATTTGTACAACATGACAGTGTGCCTTAAGTATCTCAGTTGCAGCTCTATGATCATTCCTCGCTAAGGGCTAAGCTACTTTAAACATGCTGAGGTTAAGTATATTTTCTGTACGAGTGACCATTTAAGAAATGTACAGAGAGAAAGCATTTAACTTTAGCCCAGTTCCTAAAACACTACTTGTATCCTTAGTTTAGCCTGTAATTTTAGCTTAAGTCTCACCTGTAGTAAAGACATGGACATACTGTACAAAGCCAAATAAGTTTGTACAAGTTACAGGTTGTTAGGGAAACGACCCTCAACAGATAGGTTTTCATGCAGAATTCAAAGGAAATATTCTTATTTATTTCTTAGACATCAGTCAGATTTCTCAGACTGTTTTCCACTTACAAGACTACTACATATAGCTAACTAAACAGAAGCAATATTTGGCATTTATCCTAGGATTAGTGTGAACAGCCACATAACCAAAACATTAAGAAAGTTAACTTTAAAATGCTTTTGAAGGGTCTGTTTTCATGACAGATGGCTATAAGGACTTATCAGTGCCAAAATAATTATCCCTTAAGCATTTGAAAATTGAAGGGGGAGGGAAGATTTTAGATTAATATTTCTTTGAGGCATCAGTTACATCTAATGAGTAGAAATGTAAACTACAAGATTAGACTATTCTGCCATATTATTGTATCCAACACAAATAGATCAAAAATAGAAAAATGAGACTGCTTAATAGATCAACGTTTACCACACTTCTTAGCATGATCACTCTTGATTTGACTAGTGCCCTCTGTGGAGTACTGAAATGTAGTAAGTTTCCCTCCATGTAAATTTTAGGTAGGGTTAGGTATTTTTTGTTTGTGTAATACGCTTACTAGCAAAGACATTGTAGAACTATGCTTTATTCAAGAAAACCCACACATTCCTCCTGCCTGTGGTCACCACAAGTTTTGCTAAGCCATAGTTAACAGCAAATATTGGAACAAAATACAGTGCATCAGATTGAACCAAATCATTTAGATTTTGGATTACAGTGAAAATGTTTAGGGAGAGCTAGTTTCAGAATTTCATATCGCCTTCTACGATATATGTGCAATGAAATTGGCAGAAGCAGGAAAGAAAGAGTATTGTTTCTAATAAAAGCTGAAGAATTGTGACTTTTGTATGACATTTAAATTCTCAGGATGACAATGCATGCTGTTCTACCTACAAGCAGCATTTTAGTTACAAAAATATCGGTCCAGCCTCTAGTTACTTAGTGGGGAAACAATATCCCCAGTGTAATGGCAACATGCCATTCTCAGTGAAATATTTAGAAAAAACTATTTAACATTTTTTTTTTTTACATCTCATTGGATTCCAAAGTTACTATGGCAATATGAAAGTCACTTTTTGACATGTGTATTGCACCAACGATTAATGCAAAAGCACATTTTTCAAGTTGTAATGTAAAAGAGAAGCAAAAATCTAAAATAAAAGACTGTAAATGTCAAAAGGCATTTTAATGCAACCAATCTTGGATAAACACGTTGCTACATTCATTAAAATTTAAGCAGTCATCCAAGCTTGCCCAATCTTTCTATTATTTTGAACTTTTCAAGATAAAATATGCTAAAAGGAAAAGTCCTTAAAATTGAGCTCAGAATTAAACTGTTTATTATTCACTTCTCCTAAACTGGGAAATAGCAACGAAAAGCTTTGACACTATCCTCACTTCATTATTGCACTGAGCTGCAATTGCTTTCAGACAGAATTCACAATGTATAGGAGAGGGGTGACCAATACTGCTGGATAGCAGACATAGCTAGCATTGTGGATGTAACCCAATGTGCATCAACCACAACACAATTTAAATGGTAAAGTATGCACCAGGGTTGATTTTGGTCTTCCCCAAACCAAAAATACTCCTGCTTACCTTTTCTTTCAGGAAAACAGAATCAAATATATTTTAGCCAATAGATGAAGTTTAAATAAGATTGGTAAATAGCTGTCATATTCAGTGTTACATCCAATACTACATAAAAATGAAAAAGTAGAAGACAGGAGTATTACTCATGTTTTCGTTTTAATAATGGTTTTAGCCAAAAGTGTAGCTTTGAAAATCTCTAGCTAATTGTGAAAATGTGAAGAAGCTAGGAAGCTACCTCACTTTGAACCACACAGTTTAAAGCTGTGGCTTGGCCTATCTGCTTTCAAACTCTCCATTACCTTGCCAACATTTAAATAAGAAGGTACCATTTTAAAATAAAAGTCAGCCTTTAAAATTAGGTGGATGATGTACTACAATAGCCTAACTTTGATTCAAGGAGAAAGATGAAATGTTTTTATACAGTAAACAAAACAAAAGCAAACTGAAATCCTTCAAAATCACTGTAAGTGTATATAATTAGGATTCTCATCAACATTTAAAACTATTGAAAATAAGGTTGCCACCTTACCTTTTTTGGACTGGTGTACCTGGTTTTAAACAGGTTTTCCTCCAGTCTCCCAAGTTTCTGATCCTCTTATTCAGTTTTCTGCTGTACTGCTCTCCTACTTTTATGCTGAATACCAAGTCAGTCCTGCCTTCTGCTTTTCTTGGCAGGAGGCAGAGCAAAATTTTAATTTCAGTAGTCAAGAGTGACAGAACAACAAAAGCACAGCAGATAGCAGAGCTTAATTCTTTCCAAAGAAGAAAATACATTTGTCCCACAAAGGTCTGCAAAATCTTGCAAAGGCACCTTTTTCCCCAGTTTTTTCCTGAAAGCAAGATGGCAATCTTAATTGAAAAGGGATGATAAAATTTTTAAATAACTTAAAAAATCATCTTTATATAAAGCAGCAAAAACATTTTCCTCTGCAGAAAGAGAAATTTTAACAAAGAAACACACCAATGTAAATGCACTGTTCATAAACTTCTGCTAATTTTAATTTCACAATGAAGTCAAACTTTATTTTTTGACTATTCTTTAACCTCATCAGTACTGTCTGAAGAAGATTCTTTGGCATCTTCAGTGTCTTTGTTGCTTTCCTCTTGATTTAGATTTTCATTTTCTGATTTGGTCCCATTAAGTAGAGTTTTTTCACCATTTACAAACCCATTCTCTGTGACTCCTGCATCAATAGTTTCATCAATCTTTAAGTCCCCTTGTTCCTCTGCTTCTTCCTCTAGGTTTCTCAAGACAATTGGGAGTCTAGAGTCTGCCACAGTGTTCTCTAGCAAGGCAATATTGCTCTCTTCATATTTAGGAAGTAGGGCTCCTTCTGCCATTTGTCTACTATAGTACTCTCTGTTAGCAGCTGCACTCTTCACTGCTTTCTCCAAAATCTCTTTTTCACCTAAACGCAATTTGATAGCCATTGTCGCATGGAAGGTAAGGTCATGGGTCTCCAAGAAGGATTTATCATCCTGGAGGAAAAAAGTGAAAATTATGAATAAAATCCATCCAACTTTTGTCCTGCAATAACAAAGGCTCCAGATCTTGTAAGCTGATCCACATAGGCAGATTTTTATGCCTGTATGGAGCCCTACTGAAGTCCATGGGAATCCATAAAGGAGCACAGGTCCCCCCACATGGATCAGCTTGCAGAAGCTCAAGTCAGTAAGTTTTAAGGATAGCTGTAGTGAAAGCAAATAAAAAAAAGTGATACACTTTCTAGATGTGTTAGTCTAGTACAGGGGTGGGCAAACTTTTTGGCCCAAGGGACACATCTGGGTGGGGAAACTGTATGCAGGGCCATGAATGTAGGGGTGAGGCGGGGGTTGGAGGCTCAGGGCAGGAAACTGGGGTGCAGGTGGGGGTGCGGAGTGCAGGAGGCGGCACAGGGCAGGGTTTGGGGTGCAGGGTGTAAGAGGAGTTCGGGGTGCAGGCTCTGGCCCGGCGCCTCTTACCTAGAGTGGCTCTGGGGTGGCAGCGGCATGCAGCAGGGCTAAGGCAGGCTCCCTGCTTGCCCTGGCTCCAAGCCGCTCCCAGAAGTGGCCAGCATGTCCGGCAGTGGCTCCTGGGGGTGGGGTGGGGCAGGCGGCTCTGCCACATGCTGCCCTTGCCTGTGGGTACAACCCCCGAAGCTCCCATTGACTGCAGTTCCTGGTCCTGGCCAATGGGAGCTGCAGGGGGCGGTGCCTGCAGGCGAGGGGCCTCCAGGGGCCGCAGAAACGTGCTGGCTTCTTCCGGGAGCGGTGTGGAGCCAGGGAAGGTAGGGAGCCTGCCTTAGCCCTGCTGAGCCATGGGCCAGATCCAGCCCGCAGGCCGTATTGAAAGCCCTGATGGGCCAGATCCAGTCTGCAGGCCGTAGTTTGCCCTCCCTTGGTCTAGTAGATAATTTAGAAAATATAAAAAGACACAGCAAGTTAAAACTGATTCCACATTTTACTAGTGGAAAAAACAAGGAGCAACAATTTACAGAATCATGAAAACAAATGAAAACAGATTGCCAAAATCTTACGTACTTTATTTTCTTTGGCTATATATATTATAAATTATACATGAAAAAACAAGTGAAAAATGAATGGTCACATAACTAAGATAAACTCAAAAGAAGATTGCGGGGGTGGGGGGAGGAAATGAATTCTTGTTTTGCTAGAATCACCATGCAAAAACTTCAAGATTGTACAGATTTACAGGTTCTTGGTAGTTTTACCTCCACAGTAGTTTTATAGGTTTTCAAAAGAAGGGATGCTCTGGCTTCAAGGAACGTCCAAAGTTTAACCTCATTGTCCCAGCTAACTGGAAACTCAGAGTTGCCCAGAGTGAAGATTTTGTCAATAGCATGCTCTCCTATTAAGTGTTCTTTCAGCTCTTCTGCAATAATTATGAAGAACAATATGTTAAAAACAATCTCACCATTCACTATGGTAGTTGACAAAACTTAGAAAGCTTCATTTTCAATAATAATATTTTATATTGCTGGAGAAAAAAATCCTCTCCCCTTAAAAGGAATGATCCAACAATCTGGCTATCTCTAGTACTCCCCTCAAGGTAGCATCTGGACATCTTGAGGTTAGCAGAAAAAGGAACCTTCAGTTCCATTCTTAAATAACCTTTTGAACATTTTGGCTTAAAAGACACATCATAACTCTTACTTTGGATGCCAATTACAGATACGATGTCGCATATAATCCTTGATGGTGATAAACAGAACAAGGGGGTGATACTTTAGCGTTGGGTGTATTTATACACTGCTCCCTGAAATGTTTCTTTTTATTGGATAAATAGCAATAGATTTCTTTTTCTATTGTTAAAGGCTATTTTTTTTTTCAGTAAAAAAAACTGAATACTGTTGGTCAAAAGACATCCATCAAAAGTGACTCATACAAAATGTCAAGTGGTTTGTGACAGCATTACACAAATTTCATTAATCTTAACCGTTTAATTACCAAAATACTCTCCTGCAAAGCAGTATATCACAAACTTCAAATTAAACATTACAAAAGTTGGTATTAACATTTTATACAATAGACTTCAGTGACATGTAAGCAAGTTTCATTTGTTGATGAAAGAGTTACTAAGGCAAGGGACTTCTCACCAACGGATCAATGATTTGTGTCATACAGCTCCTCACTGAACAGTTTAAATACAGACAATAATTGCAGTTTTCATGCTGAGAGTCTAGGACACATACCTCAATTGCACACCAGTACATTTCATGATAATATAGCAAATGCACTCTAGGTATATTTCGTAGAAGAGAAAATTCACCAATCCCTTCCACGTCCCTGAAGAATTATGCTTATTATGTAATCATTATGACATCATCTCTTTGAAATCAAAAGAAGTTCAGTCCCAAAGTCCACACTCGTTTAGAATTCTAAAGGAAGCACAAATGTACGCGCCAACAGTATCCCCCAAACTTCCAGCATATGAAGCAACAGCTTTTCAGAGATTAGAACATACACACATGAACCACCACTCCGCTATCTTTCCCCATAAAGCCATATATATCAAAACAAATTGTAGTCCCAAAGTATATAATACAAAACTTGTAGTCTTTCAATACAAACTAGTCAAAAATCTCATGTATCACGAGAGACATATATGTATAGTTTATGAATTGAGGGTTAAAGTATCAGACAGTTTAACTATAAAAAGATCAACACCTTTGACATATCAGAAATCCTGCAATCCATTCCTACAACCCTCAAAAGTGACATGAAATGAAAAAGGCCTCCACTCAACTACGAAGTAGGTAAATAGATATATTTGGTGGGAGCCATAGAAATAATTCACTAATCATAAACTAATACAATAGATAATGGGACAAATATCTAATTTGCATACTTTTTAATTTCACAGGAGGGGCTGTTGGAGGATGGGGAAGGTAGAGGATGAGTTAGGGATGTGGTGACACAAACCACTTTATTAAATACTACAGAGCCTCCTTTATCAATATCACCTTAAAAAAATAAAGGTTTCTTTTAAAAAATCCAATGAGACTGGAACACAAGGCCGTGAAGTTATTAATACATTTAATGTATGTCTTCTTAGGTGAACAAAAATAAATAAAATACAATACAATATATACATAAAACTTAACATGCCTCTAGTGTACCTGCTAGCATCTAGGTACATAGTAACTTAAATGTGCAGAGTAACCCTACTGGATGTGGTTGCTCTCCCTGCTGTGAAACGAACAGTTCTTACCTATAACCTTTGTTGGATTATTTTCATAAATGCAAGTGCAACAGCATATGCAAGATTAGGTACATAATTGTGTCTAATTAGCAAACAGTTGTGATTGTATCCACCAATTAAGTTATTACATGCACAAATTAGGTGCATAGTTAATGACTGTGCATACATTTTTCCTGGTGCAACTACACACATGCATGAAAGTAAGGCTCTGATAAGTTTACTTCACAAGACAAGCTGATTATAGCTTATGAATAATCAAAAATGTTGATTTATATGTGCAAACTGACAACTTTGAGGTGTGTCTTTGATTTCTGCTATAGTGCAGTATTTTCTAGTTCCTTTCCCAGAAGAATCTAGTGGTAAAGGGTGACTGAAATGCTGTCACTATAAGCGTGCGGCGAACTTTTGGACTTATAAGACCTTGCATTGTGGGTCATTTTTTAACCTTTGACTAAATAAGACTGGAGAGCAAAAGTAATCAATTACAAATCACAAGGAGGAAAAAAGGCAGTTACAATGTACTATATGGTACCCTTCAAAATTAGAACATTCACCACACCTGCTGCTTTGAGGAGAAAGTCCCAAAAAATTCTCAAGCTGCCAGCACACTCCTTATACCACATGACCCAAGAATGTGGACTAATGCAATTTTACATACTTTTAGAAAACTCAATGTCCTCTAATGTTCTATTAATTTAAGAATGATGCAGAAGAGGACCATGTTCTGTTCTGTGTTCCCAATCCCTATTCCATTTTCCCATAAAACATTACTTTTAAAGTTTTCTAGCTTTGTTTCATATGAACATCTCTTCTCTTCTCACTTAAAAAACCCTCCATCAATTGGAATATTTGTGAATGTTTTACCTTCACTCATACAAAACACTCGAAGGAAAGCCAGAAGCTGAGCAGAGATTGGAGGCTCAGTGGAGTGCAAGGCAAAAACACTGGAGCTGACCCAAAAAAAAAAAAAAAAAAAAGTGAATGCAAATTAGACTGTAGTAGCTTCAACATGAAACCTTTAATATATACACAGACGTCACATTATTAGATTCTGAAAAAATATGAGGTCACACTAATTTCTGAGTCTGAACTGAAGGAACTTCTCCAACCTGACCCAAAAAAGAACAATCACTTCTCCACACGACAGGCAATTTTACACTTAAATGTCTTTTTATATGATTTTCATAATAAATTCATGCTTGATTTTAGTAGCCAGATGAGTAATATATAGAAGAATAATCTCACCTTAAGTATTGATTTTAAAATGTTAACAGCAATATTATGATTGGTTCAATATCAGTCATTAATCAATTGACATATTCAACAACAGAAGGGCCTGGATAATAGTTTCCATTAGGATGGCTCCTTTCCCCTTGAGAAAACAATGTTTCATGATTGCTGCCCACCATACTACAGCCTGAACTAACAGCAGTTTCTTCTAAGGAAAAATAGTTGAAACCGTGATAGATGACAAATTGAGCATTGCAGGACATTTTGAGAAGGGACAGGGAAGAAATGAAAGCCACATATTGGTTCACATTTAACTTTCACTATTTTTACCCAAGCACTTACTAAAGAAAATCTAATTCCTCCTTGTATACACTCCAAACTAGATTATTTAGATCTGAGTAGTGCACTAAACTTCATTATCACAATGTATGTCAGTTGCTATATAAACAGACAAGATATTAGGCCTAGGCAAACTATTGCAGAACAATTTTAATAATGCACTACGGGACTGTGTACATTTTGAAATATTTTAAGGATGAAAGAAAAAACTCAGTTCATTCTGTTTTACTTACGTTGGAATGCCGGCACGAGCTAAGACCTCTGCCTTCATAGCATACAGCCTGTCACTTTTACTCACTCCAAGCTTTATTTTCACTCTGTCATGTGAATTATTATCAAAGAAAAAACCACTGTGGATCACAAATTCAGCATTCGACCGAGTGCCATAAAAAATGTAAATCTAGAAGGATGAAAAGAGAACAGAAGGGGAGGCGGAAGGGACCGGGAAGCTTAAGATTAACTCACAAAATGGACATAAGTGGAAAATTATTTACTGAAAAAAAGTTATATTGTCATGAAATACAATACTTATGTGGTTATAAAACAAAAATGCATGTTTATTTTCATTTAATGATTCAAAATACCATACAGTATTGCCATAAGACTTCAAGGATGTTGTGCAATGTGTTCAAAATTTCCATATATTGAGATGGGCCTGTTATTTTATACCCTGCATGCTAGAGGAGATAACTGCTACGGTGTTAAGGATATTTAATATCATATAAAGACATCTTATAGGTATTCAGCTGATGCTTTCTATATTATCCCCATTTCCCCAAACTTTTTCTAAATCAAATTTGTACTTTAAGACTATTTATTCACCATGGTCCTCTCGCTTACAAAAAATATATTCCATATTTATATAGAGTAATATCTTTTGTTTTAGGTGCCATACAAATGTAGACATGTTTCCTGCCTCTTACAGCTTACAATCTAAAATGTTAGATGAAGCAGCATACACCACAACAAGTGTTTTAAAAGAACTGAGAATTTAAAGAAAAAAATCACTAATAAGTTTATGGTGCAATTTTTCACCTAGCATTTGGCTGCATTAAGAACTTGGTACAGCAAGCCACAGCATCAGCTGTTGCATTCTGAGCCACAAGAACCCTTTTTCAGTAATGGAATTGTCAACAGAAATAAGACATTTATCTTGTATGCAGATGCAATACAATCATTGCCTTTAGAAATAAAAGCAATGTTCTAGTTATAGATCCTTAAATGATCTTGAGTTCATCTTTTAAAAAAAGTATATCTATGGAATCCTGCTTAAATAAGCTTGCATTATAAAAGCAATGATTCTATGAATGATAGTTCTAGGATAGATACAAGACACAGACCTAGGCAAGCCTTGTGTACAATTAATAGTCATAGATTTTAAAGCCAGAAGTGATCTAGTCTGACCTCTTGCATAACACAGACTATAGGATTTCTCTGTATTAATTCCTACTTCAAATTTAACTACAGCATATCTTTTAGAAAAAGATGAAGGATAAGAATAAAGGGACATATCTGTTAAAAATTCTTTTGAGTACAAAGGTTGTAATCCAAGGAGAAAATAGAACTAAAGAGGAGTTCAAGTCCTACACTCATAGATGAGTGCAAGGAACCTGCCTGGGAACAAAAAGTATCCCCAACAAACTAAGTATCTGAACACAGGATCCACGCCCCTGCCAGTCAAGGAAACTCCATGCACAAACTGTTTTGTATACTATCTCAAACAGCTCAATTCATCAGGTTTTAGAAGACAGATGCTTCTCCTCTTTACATAAATACTACTTTTTAAACAATTTAATACATATTTCTTAACAGACTGGAAGTGAAAGATGTGGGGTCAGCATCTTTCCACTCATATCTTCAGAATACACTGTGGGACTTGATGCATGTCTGGTCTACATTACACTGAACTGGTGCTGCACATGGCTTAGTTTGTCTTTGGATCAGTGAACAAATAGCATTAACATTTGCAGCTATTCTGTGCTCACCACCACTCACTCCATCTGTACCTGTTTTCATCAACAGGTACTTTTCCTGATGTAGGCAAAGCTTTAGAGTCTTGGTCTTTCTATTTTAATGGTTTGACCGAGTAGTCTTAATCCAGGACGATCACTTTCAAGATCCTCTCTCATTCTGACTCAGGTTTTGGGGCACACACAGCACAGGCCAAATATCTCCTGGACCAATGGTCTTTGTCTATTGGATTGTTGATAACACCTCCTCTTATTACCTGTTGATTGGACAAGTTCTAGACTCTCACAAACTAGTCAAATAAAAACTATGCAGGACATTTCCAGCAGAAGAAAGCACTGAACAAAACCAAGAGTTCTACCACCTGCCATTGCTGATGGAAGCTGAGGCATTGAGGGCAGTTTTGGGTAGGGACCTTTACCAACCACATCTTCAATTTCTAGATCAGTGGCCTGACCAGTGTACACTCCCCCGTGATTAAATATATGAAATGGTTATTACTCAGGAAGAAGCACGCAACTTCTACAGAGGAGATTTGCAAAGATGATTGTGTGACAGAATATATCATGTTCATTATTTTGACAACTGTAGTTTAGTTTATTTAGTTTTACTAATACTTTACGAAGTATTATCCAACTACAACAAAACCGTGTTTATACAAAGACCTCACCCACAGGACTCTGCTATTAAATCTTCACAGAGAAATACTGAGCACCCCTTTTTGTGCAGATTATATTTGCAGATTAGCAAGGCTCTTTTGCAGCTAATAAAAACATTAGAGGTTAGTTATCAAGTAGACAAGCAGATGTTTGTGTGAAATCGTCACCATTTTCATCAAGACAGTCAGTTGCATGAACAATACATTTCTGCATAAAACTTCACCAAATAGCCATGGAATGGATAGCTGTCTCACATTACCTGTTCTCCAGCCTTAAAATCCTGAAGCGCTACACACTCACAACGGTCATCTTCTAAATTGTAGCCAGTAGTGATCTACCCAAGGGGGAAAAAGTAATGAGTCTTTAGCATATTATATTTCTTTCCTCCCCATTTTCATAAAGCTGCCTTTTATTGGAGATGGATATTATCTAAAGTAATTGCACATCCTGCTTTTCCTTCACCTGATGCAACATGGTTGGTACTAAATGTTTTATGAATCTTAAGCAATCATTTCTTAGTTAGGAACATTAAAAATCTCTGCACTAGAGAAGATCAAGGAAGGAAATTACTTACCTGAAGTAAATGGAAAGCTCTGAGGGAAGTACCCTCCATAGACCAACACTTGCGGGTCTCTAGCTAAACCCAGTAGCTTATTATAAAGTTCTTGAGTTTTAAGTCACTCCTGTGAAGCACTCTGGAGCGCTGCACTGAGTGTGCTACATTCTGTGTCAAACCCTTCAACTATCAATGCATTTTCGATCTCTCTCAATGAAAGAGGAATGGATAACTGGGAATCTTTAAGGGATACCATCTTCAGAGAACTCCAATTTACTTGCAAATAATTCCTTTATCTAAAGTTAAGCAATTATTCTCAAATACTGAAGAGATTTTTCTGTGGGAGCAGATGGGGGAGGGGGGATTGGATTTCTTTACCATACCCTGAATACATTTTTTTTAAAAATCATGAAAATAAAAATACTTATAAGTAAAACCATCCTAAAATTATTTTTTTTTAAAAGTTAAATCTAGTATGCTCTTGAATAACAACATTCAACATGGACTCTATCATAAAGGATTCAGAGACCATGCTAGACATAATGAAGCTGTGCTATCAGGAAACAACTTTTGTGACAAGTATTCTGAATTTAGTGTTTACACAACTACATTGTAGTAAAAATAGGTTGTGAACCTGGGGGACAAACTGCAAAAAGCCACAGATTTTCTCGTTAGATCTTGTGGCTTCATTAGAACTTTGTTTTCATTTACAGAGATTATGTTTGAACACAGGTACTATACTGTGACTGCCATCTTGGATTTGCTTTGTCTGAGGAGGGAGCCCCTTAGGCTACTTTGAAAGCTTGGCTGGCGGTTTACATATTAATAATTTCTGCTTGCATATTCAATCATGCATTTGTAAGTCAAAACAATGCTTTCATAGTGACCACAGGGAACTCTTCTCAGACACAGCAAATCCAAAATGGCAGCCATAAGCAGAGCCCTATGGGACACATATAATGGCACTGTACATAGATGCCACAGCTCAAAAATGTATTCCATGAATTTGTGATACTTTTGCAAGTCCTTTATACACTTTCTTTGTAGCCTAGATCATCCAGTTTGATCTGATGCATAACACAGGCCACAGACACTTAAATTCCCTCTAAACTGCATTGCCACACAGCAGCTTATTAAGCGCTGCACAGGCTCTCAGGGCTGCGGTGGGGAGAGATGCCTCTCCCCCAGCCCTGGACCTGCCACGTCTGGGGGCAGAGGTGCCCTTCCCTGGACCTGCCGGGGGAGGGGCGGGGGGGAAGAAGAGGAGAGGAGCCCCTCCTTTGGCCCCAAACCAGCCCCAGCCCAGGTCTGCTGCGGCTGGGGGAGACACACCTATCCCGCAGCCCCAGCCCCGGAGCTGCTGTGGTGGGGAGAGGTGCCTCTCTCCCCCAGCTCAGGTGCTGCTGTGGGGAGAGAGCTGTGAGGAGTCCTCTCTCCCCATTGTAGCACTGGGGCAGCCTGTATTCCAAACCCCTCATCCTCGACCCCACCCCCAGAGCCCGCACCCCCAGCCGGACTCCTCACTCCCCCCTCCCCACACACACACCAACCCCAGCCTTGAGCCCCCTCCCACACTTCAAACGCCTTGGCCGCACCCCTGCCATGTGAATTTTGTTATGTGAACCAATATGGAGGTGAGAGATTCCGGCATCCAGGCCTGTATTCCATTGGATCAGTTGCTGCTGACATACAGCACATCTTATAGAAAGACATGTCAGCTTGATTTAAAGACTTAGTGCTAGAGGATTTACCACACCCCTAGGTAATCTTTTCTAATGGTTAAATATCATCCCTGTTAAAAATGTGCATCCCAATTTCAGTGGCAACATTCCCAAAATTTCCTCTCTGTGACAGAAGGAAATCCTTGATACTATCTCAAAAGATTCATATGTCTTGAAGTTTCCTTAGCTCCTTCATAAATTCAAAGAAACCATTTTCAAATTAAAAACAAACAAAAAAAACCCTTAAAATCTTCTAAAATGATTTCAGAGAGCATCTGAAGCATTTGTGGATTCCTAGATGGAAACAGAAGGATTCTGTATGTCTTAGAAAGTGCTAAAAAATTTGCTGAGTGTGTGTTTCACTAGACTGCCAAACTTTTAAAAATAACAGCACTTCTAATGGGCTGCTCTGCAAAGTCCAATATAGTGCTAGAATCACGATTTACAAAATTAACTAAGACAGGGGAAGTAGTAAGAAAATGAGCACTGGAGTTGCTTCCTTTTCCAGGAGATGGATAAGAAGTTGTCTCCCTCTTTAGGTGTACTGCTGGAGCAGGCCAGTTCATGAATATCAAGTTGTGTAGGGGGAAGCAGTAGTTTGCTTGGACAAGTGATTTGATAAGCACGGCCCAAGCCCAGTAGGCATAGTTTAGTTTATTCATTCAAAGCTCTAGTAGCAAGTAACCAACCTTTGACTGTCAAAATACAATCCCACTGAAGAACAACAATGAGAAATGCATGAAGACAAACATTTTGACGTAGTTCTTAGATATAGGCTGATCTAATTAGTAACGTCAGAAGCAAGAAAAAGCTGGATGGCCCTAATGCCAGCTAAAACCCAAAGAGCATTTTATAATTTAGCATGTGGAAAAAAAAGACTTGTGGGATAAAGCAAGAATAGGGACATATTATAACAGGGACTGAATGAAGGGGCATTTAAACACTACCTTTGGAACAGACACCGGAGAATGCAACACTGTCTTTTTCATACATTCATGCAGTGAATCAAGTGTCCACTTGAGGTACTTCATCGGGATGCACTATAATCAGAGCAAAGAGACTCCCACTCGCTCCCCCAAAGCCTACTATAATACATAATTCTGGGTAGATGAGTAAAACTGATCTCTGTGGGTATTACTCCTACTTCTGATAATTTAAGTATTCTAAACTTGTAATGAGAAGAAAGAGTTCTAACAGAGCTTTTCTATTTCAACAATAGCCAATAACAGTCAGCTCCCAAAATTTTCAGCTACCTTCTTTGTTTATATATTGATATATATTTCCTTTAGAGTAAACTACTCAAACATAAGTAATACGAACAACTGATAAGAGAACTCTCCACTTTATCCTCAGTTTTGGGTCCCCAAGCTGCCTCTGCACCAAATCTATTCACCAAGTACCATAACAAAAACATACTTTACCAATATAGCAGAAGCTTAAATTAAAACAACCTGCTTGACCTTGTTTTTAATATGGGCTAGCTATATTTAATTTTTTTTTCTTAGAAGTGTCATTTGTCTTCCTTCTTTTTAAATCCCAACTTTTGAAGGCACTCATTAAGGACCATCCATGTGAAAATGAACAAGCTTCTCCAAAAATGTCAAGGAAGAAGAGGGCAACGAGAGTTACAGTAAGCACTATACTTACATCTAAGCCTTGCAGGAGTGGTTTTTCTTTTTAAATTGTTTCATGAAGTTTAAGAAATGTTGTACACTGGAGGGTAGTCAAACACTAAATCTATCCTTGAAACAAAGTAAGAGAGCTACCAGATTCTGCAACAAGTACTCAACTGTAAAAGGCACTGGTTAAAGAAAAACATACCTAATAAGTAACCATTTCAATGGGAGAGAAAAAAAAAGAGAAAAATCATCAGCCAGGACTGAATTCCACTGTGTTTGATACAGCCAGTCATAGTGGTATCCTCTTTAAATAAACCCGTTGTATGATCTAATAAACCAAACTGCTAATATCAACAGAAAAATGCAAATCATTACTACAGCCTGATTGAGTATTTAAGTTAAGCTTCACTCATGACAATACGACTGCTAACACATGCTGACCTGTCATCCACATCAATTCTCCCTTACAGGGACTGGATTACTAAAATATGGAAGAATAGGTCATATTTGCTGTTTACATAAGTCACCCTACTTACTTACAATATAATTTGGAAGTATAAACTGTGAAATATACAGAAGCTTTGTGGTTGGCTAAGCAAAACTGGCAAACCATTCTCTTGTGAATTCTCATTTCATCAGATCAAAATTGACCAATCTGTTATCAAGTCAAGATTTGGTCCTCTATGAGCTAGGAGGATATCTCAGGCAAGCGAAAACGTCAGCAGGTCTGACTTTCTATATACACATGCCATCTTTTAAATGTTTAATATGCCCTAAAGTAGTGTTTTTGCATGTGTTAAGTAGTGTTTCTTTGATGTACTAACAGATGTACTGGTTTTGTTGAACTAGATTTTGTTCTTGCCGTTGCTGCCTCCATAACAAGGCTCTTTGGGCATGGTTAAGAGCAGGCAGCATTGCTTAGTTGCAAATTTCTACCCACTTTCCCTTGTGGTAGCCAGGACAGAGATGCTTTGAGAGACCACCTCCATCATAGTCTGTTTTCATATACCCAATACAAAAATATCTAATCTCATGAAAACCTTTGTCAGCAACACCAGATACAGAACTTAGTATGTGTGAAGATTAGACATATTCAAATTTGCTAGAAAGAATTTGACACCAAGCCTATCTTGCATCATTGGAAAGTCGTCTTAAAGCTGCACACTTGTGAAAGTGCAAGGAAAAAGAAAAAACTATGCATGATTTGCAATTACATATAAGAGTCTTTTAGGTATGAGGGATTTTCTCATTGAAATAGTTATTTCAAGATATTTAAGAAGTTGTCATTTCTTTAAGATGTTTGCTTTGAGGGTCAGCAGGGAAGATGGAATCCCTGTTTTAAGAAAAGTAAGTATTAAAATGTGCAACAGTAATTGAAATGGTTTAATATATTAAGTTCTAAAGCTTCTTATCCACATTGAAGAAATCCTTACCAGACCATTGATGTGATTACACATGTCCCATAAAGGAATCAGAGCCAAGGTAACTCGGGAACCATCTTCAGTTGGAATCTGGTTTTGTCGTGTCATAACGGAGGAAACTGCCCACCTGCAAAGAATAAAAACTTCAATATTTCATTGTTTAAACACAGCCAGTTGATCAGCTGCAACCCAAAAGAAATCAACAGTTTAGATGAGCATTTCCAAACTTTCTCTCCAAAGAACAGAAAACATTCAGATCTCCATTTATGTAAAAATTTTAAAAAAAGTGTGCCCTTACCATATGCCACTAAGTATCAGAATTTCCTGTATAGTACTTTAGTCGATTCACTCAACTAATCCAGAATTATGAAAATTGAGATATTAAAAAACTGGCCAGTACAATACTTTTTAAAATGCATATCTTTATCATTCACATTTTGGGCAACTTCACACTTAAGTTGACACCTCCCTCCCTCTCAGTGAAGGAAACATCTGTGGAGATACCATCCCAAAGTAATGACTCAGAACTACAAAAGGACTAAAAGATCCCTTTGAGAGCTCATGAATTCCTCTTAGGGCTTGTCTACACTGGCAACTAACAGCGCTGCAACTTTCTCGCTCAGGGGTATGAAAAAACACCCCCCTGAGCACAGCAAGTTGCAGTACTGTAAAGCGCCAGTGTAAACAGTCTCCCAGTGCTGGGGGCTACGCCCGTCATTGAAGTGGCGCCGTGACCACACAAGGCACGTTAAAGCACTGCCACAGCAGCACTTTAGTGTTGCCAATGTAGACTAGCCCTTATTCATGATATTTTATCATTTTTAACTCAACTCAAGCTCCCTCTTATCTGAACTGATTCCACTTCTTAAGACACCTCCAAAATGCATTCAGACTTCACATGCATAGCAAGACTTTTCCAGGTCTCATACCAAATATCAGTTATGAGGTAATATATGCTGGTAAAACCTTTTGTGAAAAATAAGGAGGCTTAAACGGCAGAGTAAAAGTTACCTAAAAACTACACACCACCACACTAATCTCAGGCTGTCACGTGTAATTTGGCTAAATTAACTTCTCTTCCTACCCCATATTAATGACAAATTTCTATGACTGTTGAAACATGACACTTAAACTCTATTCTTTGTTGTTTCTAAAAAGAGTACCAGTGGGTATCAAACGCTGACTTTTAAATGGTTTAACGAACAGGGTTGGGTTTTTTCCCCTTCTTCCTAGTGAAGCATCTCTCACTTTTCAAGATCCCAAGATTCACTTTAAAAAACAGCACACCAACCTGTAGTCATCATAAGTGAAAGAATCCTTTAAGGGCAGTTTGCTGGCATTAGGATGTGTCTGAGGAAAAAAAAAATCTGAAATCAGTCAGCAGAATTTTCATTATTTAGCTGCCTAACAGATCCTAACAAGAGCCAAATGAAGCAGGAGGCGTCCAGCCGCGCTACAGAGGGATCATCATGCTATTATGCTCTCATACATCACTGTCAACTTAATTTGTTGTGCCCAGCAGCCGCCATAAATCTGTTTCTTCATATTTCAAGACTGGAACCCACAGACACCACACAAAAATAAAAATTTAAGGTGGACTGATTCCATAAAGGTAGAAAACAATCAACCTCACAAAACCCAAACAAGAAATGAACATTAGGTTTCAGCAAATTCTACTATCACCTCTCCTATCCTGGAATCTTAATTCTGTGTTTTACATATGGAGAATGAATTTATTCTAAGTCTCTCTTTCCTTCCTAGTAGTCACCAAGAGTTTATTCACAGTTCTGCCACACTTCAGGAATCTCAATAGATTAAAATATTTAAATGGTTTTAGTGACTAGCATAGTTAGGTTTAGTGCAGCAACTATATGTAGATACACTCATCCAGAAGCAGGGTAATTCTATTTTTTCTTAGATTTGTTAGATTAGATATAAAAGGTATATAGCTTAGTTGACATTAGCAAATAAAGTACTGTGGTTAAAAAAAGTTTTTTAAACCTGTAAAACCTGTCACTCATTTCTGGTAAATGAAGTATCCAATATGCAGTATGTCGAAAATAACCTATCATACATTTTCTAAAAAGACATGGACTTTTCAACCACTTTAAAACTTTATACTAAACAACAGATTGAAAGCTATATGACTATAATTTTAATCTTCCATTTCAATTAAGTCTGTAGACAGATTGCAGTAAGCGATCAAATGAACAAATGGTTATTTCTTAAGATACAAATGAATTTTTCCTTAGCTGTATCTTTCCAACACTGTTAATACATGAAGCTCCATGTAGTATGGAGTTTTTACTCTTGACGCATTAGCATCACAAGTGCATGGTAATTTATCATCTCTCACTGTAATGTACTTGCTGGCACTGTGTGCAGGACAGTAGGGGATGAGGTATAAGTGGCCCAAACCGTAAATCAATTAGAAAACAAAAGCTTGTGCTCAGTGTGCAATTTTAGGCAAATTATACATTACAAAAGACTGCCAATTGGGTGTTAGGTCCCAGGTGTTTGCTCTCCCCAATCCCTGTAGTTAACCCTTTGGATGGATTAACTCTGAAATTTAGGATTTTCAAGTGAAAAGTTAATAATTTGAGCATTTCAAAAATTCAGTGTGAACTTCTACATTTCTATAGGATTTTAATATCTATATATGTTGTACACTGCACAGCAAATTACTCTATATTTAAACTTAACAGCACATTTTACAAAACAATTTCTCACACAAAACCACTAACACAATATTGAGCCACAAGCAACATTCCTCAGGAGCCGTTCTTTCCCACCAAACTATACCATAATTAGAAGATGAACATGCTAGAATCTGAGATAACTGAAATTATGTATTCCGTTAAAATTCTAAAAAATTCTTATTTCTTTATGACAACTTAATTTCCATTTTGATTAGCAGTATATTACTAGTCTAAAGATTAAACCTTGGTATGATGAACTAAGCATCCAGGAAAGTTACCATTCAGAAGCAAAATAAAAATTAACAGTTAACCAAAGGGTTAACTAGAGTTTAATTTTAAAAGATTTCCACTAGAACATTTATGTCCAGTTCTATTACAAACTAATAACTGTCAAAGCTCATTCTATGCCTAGAAATCCTAAAGAAAATTTTCTGTGAACAGGGAAATTTCTAAAGAAATTTGATTGTTTCCCGTTTATATGCAATCCACAGAGTTAATCCAGGAATAAATCTTCATAACGCTAATGCTTACAAAGTTATTCTATTTCCTACTGTATTTTTTTGGGTACTAAAACAATTTTGCTTAAGAAAAGCGACATGGAGTTTTTCCAATTGTCATATTGATATTAGCTTTGACTAAACAGTTCATATTCACCAGGACAGACTTTGTCAGTGTGGCACTGATGCCACCTACTGGCACTGGAGCAGAATAATCACCAAAATGCTATGCACAAAATTAGATTATTTCCTCTTGAATTTGATTAATCATAACATGGCCAGGCCAAGTCAAAATCCTTCCAAACCCTCTTCCCTTAATTCACAATAGCTGGCATTAGGATAAACATGACACTAATTAAAATAAAAATCTCCTCCAGCATTACCAATTTGACACTGGTGGTTCAAACTAATTCACCCTTGTGAAATCCTAATATTTGAAATATTTAATGTAAACAGATGCTACTTTAAACCAACAGCATGCAGCTGTTTATCGTAAGATCAAAAGAAACTAGGTGTACAAGAAATACTTATTTTTCACCCCAACAACCACTTCTGACAGGATGAATGATTGTCAACAATAGATCAGTAGTTAGAATGTACTAAAAAAAGTTAAATGGCATATAAACAGGAAAGTAAACATCTCAATATTTTTACTGATTTTTCCTTTGAAATCCAAATTCATTTTAAAGGTCTAGGACTGAGCACACTACAGTGAAATTCTTAAATGAAGCCTCAGATCAAATACTACACAGGCAGAAATTATTCATCAGCCAATATGTCTTAACAATGATCTACAGCAAGCATCTCTAGAAAGCAAGAGGGTAGTTCACACTATGATCAATCAGCCATTGGCCTCTCCAAGAGTGTAAATTAGTGTTAATTTTGATGGTGTAGTTTTTGTAATGGAGACATCTGACAACAAGGAACTGTATTGAGACAACCAGTTCATTTCACATGGGCTACTGAACAGCCATCAGATGGTAACGACTTTCAGTCACAACACACATCAATCCAGATTTGAACATGTGACCTCAAGGTGAAGGCTGTATATTCCATTAATCCCTTCATTTATAAATTTCTAGAAATTAGAGACTGCTGTATCTTAATAGTTCAGGTGCATGTAACCAGTGTTTTTATATGGATGAATTACAACAAAGGGCAAGAATGATATGGTTTTGTAATAAAGATGCAAGACAGAATAAAATTACCAAAAAAATGTAATTACCATATTTATAAGAACACTTTCCACAATGCAATATTCTAGTAGCTATTTTAAAGAAATTAAAATATACTAAAGTCAGCATATCTGACCATATTAGATTTCTGCCCTGAACTATTTCAGCATGCTACTTAAAAATAGACCAAGAAATTTAAATTAAGCCTATAGATTATAAGAGTTTGAAGACAGAAAACATTAACAATATTCTGATTAAAAAATTGATTTAGCATGCAGCTTCTCTTTATAGTCCCTTGGTAAAAATGAAATCTCCCTAACAAACACTTAATAAAACCTGTCAATATATCTAGAAAGAAAAATGACACAAATGCATTAAGTATTAAATACCCTTGGAAAAAGTCACATATTCCATGAATTTTTGATGTACTATCTTGACATTAATGTAAAACCTTGATATTTATAATTGACAGATATTTAATAAAGTATAGAAGATGGCTGCTGCATAGCATGCAAATTTTCCAAGTTGATCAAAAAAGATACAGACATGTATTTAAACTAAACAAACACTTAATATGTAACAAAATCAGACATTGCTTTTTTAAGCTTATGCAGCCAGACCTTTAGGGCTGATGAAGTGAGCTGTAGCTCACGAAAGCTCATGCTCAAATAAATTGGTTAGTCTCTAAGGTGCCACAAGTACTCCTTTTCTTTTTGCGAATACAGACTAACACGGCTGTTCCTCTGAAAGCTATAAAATATGGCATTCAGCATTACATGAACTCTAATTCAAACTAATCAAGTCTGTACGAAACAGCTTTGAATAGCTTTAATTTTTATTTTAAGTTAAAAATGGGAACATCAAGTGAGTATTCTCATTTAAATGCAGGCCCTTACATTCTATCAAAAGGGTCATTATAGAGGAACAAACCCCATACAGTAGAACCTCAGAGTTACAAACACCAGAGTTACAAACTGACCAGTCAACCACATACCTTATTTGGAACTGCAAGTATACGATCAGGTAGTAGCAGAGACAAAAAAAAAAAATACAATACAGTACTGTGTTAAACGTAAACTACTAAAACAAATAAAGGGAAAGCACTTTTCTTCTGCATAGCAAAGTTTCAAAGCTGTATTAAGTCAATCTTCAGTTGTAAACTTTTGAAAGAATCATAACGAATCAATCTTGAATCATAAGAATCAATCTTATTTGTTCAGAGTTACATACATTTCAGAGTTACGAACAGCCTCCATTCCCAAGGTGTTCATAATTCTGAGGTTCTATTGTATATTTAAACAAGAAGTTAGTAAACCTTTTTGGGATAATACTGTCAGAGTTGGCATCCTGTGGTGGCCAAATGGAGCAAAATCAAGGGTTGGTGCATTTACATTTCTGGGTGTCTATTTCCAAATGGTACAGTAACTCCTCACTTAATGTTGTAGTTATGTTCCTGAAAAATGCAACTTTAAGTGAAACGATGTTAAATGAATCCAATTTTCTCATAAGATTTAATGTAAATGTGGAGGGTTAGGTTCCAAGGAAATTTTTTGGGGGCAGACAAAAGCCATTATATACTGTACAGCAGTGCTACTCAAAGTGGTGGTTCACGGACCGGAGCCATTGGCTGCTGGTCTGCGCGCACATTGGAAAAAATATTGCCGGTCCCCCACATCAGATAGCTTGAGAAGCACTGCTGTACACTACTGTACTGTGGTTGGGAAGTGCCCCTGGCTTACATCACACAGGCACAGCCGGCTGCAGGCAAGGACACTAGGAAGCACCTTCGCAGCAGCAGTGGCAGCTTACCCAGAGAAGAACAGGTGCCGACTTTGCTGGGGGATGCTCCAGGCTTGCCTCTTCCCGTCCCCGCTCGACTCCAGGCGCACCTCTTCCCACCCCCACTCCAGCTCCTCTCCGGAGCACGCTGCATCCCCGCTCCCAGAACATCCTAAGCACTACCAAACAGCTGTTTGGTG